GCTCACTGTAAGCATCAGTGAATGTGTGTTGTGTTGAGCTGAATTGCCTCTCTCAATCCCAATGAAAAATCAAGGAGAAAGCAGCAGGACTAAGGAAATAAGTAATCACGGATTGACCAACGTTTTTCTCTCTCCATTCCCTCCTCTAACCCAGCTGTGGCCTGGCCAGTCCTTCCCCAACCTGGCCTGCTGAGAAGCCTCCTAAGAACACAGCCTCCTCGGTCTCCCTCCAGGGGGCGCTCAGATGGATCACAGTTCAGGAGGGTGGCAGCGGAGCCCAGAGACAAGGAGGGATGGATCAAACCACACAGTCTCTGGCAGCAGTGCTGGGGAACCCTGGCAAGGACAGTGACCTGTGCCTTGCAGTAGGAGGGAGATCCCATTCCTGGCATGTCAGGCTAGAGTGGGCTGGTAGAGATGTGTAGTAAGGTTGGGGCACAGTGCCATCCCAGGGCTCCTGAAATGGTAACCCCATAGAGATCACTCTCAGATCCTCGTGGAAGCTGTTCCATATCGCAAGGCTCCAAGCTGGGACATTTCTGAGAGAACTCCAGAGGTTCCACATGTGTGGGCTTCATGCCCAGGGCCTGACTTTAAGTGCAGGAAGCCTCACTCATGAAGTGAGCACCCCTGGAACAGGTGGGAGTGAGTCAGGACCATTACCCCTCTTCAGACTACAGGCCTTGTTTGGTACAGTGAAGCTCCCCATGCATTATCCCCTTGGTGAACTCCCACAAGTCAACAGATTGCAATCCCTCTGAGCTGAGTACAGTTCTAGAATCCTCTCTTTCCCATGCTGTCACAGGCAGGCAGCGGCAGCTGCTTTAGAATAAACTTTTTGGACATAAGTTTCAGCAGAGTATAGTCAGAAGAGGAATCAAACTCAGAAGATGCTTCAGACCTCCGGTTTTGTCTCATTCATATCAAAACGTCCAAGCTAAGAAAATCAGCCTGGGAGCAGATATTAATTTTAGTAAAAAGATAGATTATGGCCCTGACTAGTACTGGATCGGACCTGTACAAATCCAAAAGCCCTCCAGTCCCCAAGTTTTCCCAGAAAATAAGGCTGTTTTCCTCCTGGGTTTTAGGGCATTGAACCAGCGAAGTACAGGTAGAAATGTCCTCCTCCAGCTGTGAGGACCCTCTTCCAGCTCCCTAAAGGACTAGAAGAGCCATTTCGGTCTAGCTCAGCGTCATTCCTCACATTATCAGTCACAAGCCATGTTTCTGCCAGGGCACAAGTGCTGCTGGCTGGAAGTACCCAGGAGGTCTTCTGGACTGGGGTGCACTCACTCATCAAGGTTCCTGCTGGATACCTCCCTAGGGAACTTTCCAGAGAGCTCTCACACACACTCTCACACACACTCACACTTACACACAATCCTCATTCATACACTTTATGCACACACATACACTCTCACACTGACACGAACACACTCATACCCACTCACACACACATACACTCACACACTCACACACTCATTCACACACACACCCAACTTACACACAATCCTCATTCATACACACTATGCACACACTCACATACACTCTCACACTGACAATCATGAACACATTCATACCCACTCACACATACACTCACACTCACACACACCCCCAACTTACACACAATCCTCATTCATACACACTTTACGCACACACTCACATACACTCACACTCTCACACTGACATACACTCATGAACACACTCATACCCACTCACACACATACACTCACACTCATTCACACACACACACACACTCACACACTCATTCATACGCTCACACACACTCACACACACATCTACACAAGCATGCACATACACATTCCACACGCTCATACACATACACTCACCCACTCACATTCACTCATGCACGCTCACACACACACATCCTCACATATACACACTTTCCCAGACACAAGTATTCTCCGGCACACACACATAGTCTCACACGCACACACTCACATTCACTCACACACACACCCACTCTTGTACATACACAAACACCACACAGAGACACTCTCACACTAACACATTCTCACACACACACACACTCTCATACTGGCTCACTCACACTCAGGCCTGCAGGCCCCTGGTCTCCAGAGCAGAGGCAGGATCAGGAGGAGAGCCCTATGGGGCTGGAGGCCATCAGCAGTCTCACAGTGCAGCCTGCTGGGCACAAATGACGCTGCAGCCGGGTGGAGGCAGGGGCCAGGGGTGCAGGGAAGGGCATCTTGCTTCCCCTCTGTCGACTTTCAACATCCAGGAATGGTGTCTCAAACCCCAAGACTCAAAATGAGGCCTGAAGGCCTGCGGAAGGGGAAGGAGAGCTAGTCCCGGGGCCTTCCACATACAAACAGGTCTCCCGCCCCATGAGCTCTCAATGGCTCACACAGAGGTTTTAGAATCTTCCAAACAATTGGCACAGAGGAGGAGCACCAGGGCTCCAGAGGAGGAACAGAAGCTTGGCGCTAAAAATGAGGAGCTGAATACCCAAAGAAATGGGTGGGAAAGACCTTGGCCAGGCCTGTGCATGAATTATCATGTTCCGCCTGTGCCAAGATTCCCCTGCTCCGTCACTCTTCCAGCACAGACCATATGAGGGCAACTTCTCTGTGAGGCACACGGAGGGTGCCATGCATGGTAGTAACTAGTCATGGAGCAAAACTGTCATGGTGTGGGGCCTGGGATGGCTCAAGAAGGGAGCCACAGGCTGGACTCTGCAGGCAGGTGGGCCCTGACAGGAGGTGGCAGGAATAATGGAGAGGAAGTGGCAAAAGAGAGAATGGTGCCAAAGAAGAATCCCCAAGACTCAGAGTTAGATTGGGAAGTGGGAAGTGTGAGTGAGGCCAGTCAGGGATTACTGAGGTCTCAGATTGTGTCATCATGAAGAGGAGGAAAGAGAGGACTTGGACAGAATCGGGGAAAGCAAGTTAGGACCATTTGGTAAAGGAGCATAAAATGAGGATTTTGGTGTGGAGCTCACCGAGTGTCAACAGCTGCTCCCTGCACGCTCCAGCCCACATTTCTCTCTACAAGTTTTCCAGGTATTTGCCCACCTCTGCTCCTAGCGTCCCCCACCACCATCCCTTCCATCACTTCTCTTTCCAGCAGTTTCTTGAGGTCAGAGAGTTCCTTATGCCACTGGGATGACAACCACCACCACCACCTGCCTTGGCTCCCCACACACATGCTGCTCAGCGTCCCTTCTCCTGAGGTTCCTTCCTCCTCTCCCTCCTGACCAAGCCTTGGCCTTGCCCAGGGGCCGTGGGAGTGTTCCGGGCCTTCTGATCTGTGAGGAGCTGTAGACAGCCTCCGGCCCTGCTCCAGCACACTGTGCCCTGTCTAGACAGATTTGAGCTCTCCATCCTCAGGAAGCGCCAGGCCCCAGAGCAGGGCTCCCCTCCAAAGGCAATACTTCCCCTGCAGGTGAGGCTGCCTTGGTGGCCAAAACCGAGTGCATATTGGAGCCATTTCCCACTCAGCTGGCGGCGAGTCACCTAAAGTCTCTGGGGGAAAAGACAGGGCTCTCTGGTAGGGAGAATTTTTATTTTTTAATCATACTTTTAAAAAAACGGATGAGTAGTTGGAGAAAACAGGCGACAGAGTGGGTGGCCACTTGAGATCCAGAGAGAAAGATCAAAGCCCACCAAGAATGGAATGATCAGCCTTGGTGTGGCCCAGAGAACAGTCTAGGTGGCCCATGCCACATGAAAGGCAGCCAGGGGACGGGAGACGGGGTGAAGGAGCCTCGGTCACAGGCCCCGCATGTCCCTGCTCCCCCATCCAAGACCTTGGTTCATAGTCCTCAGCTGGAACAAACACCTGCTTCCAAGAGACATCCAACCAAGCTCTGTCCGCTGGGAGGGCCGCTGCATCTCTGTGTAGGAGGTGAGCTGCCCAAACTCTGGCCTCCATGAGGCTTTCTCTTTCCAAGAAGAAGCTGGAATTCCTCCCTCTAGACTCGATTCTCCTGGCTGCTGCCTCTCTCACAATCCCAGCCCAGGGCAGCCAGCCAGGAACATGCTCTATTCTCGGACTGACTAATTAGCTCATTAGGTGACTGCAGGGCAGTGAGTCCACCATGTTCACCATGGCGCAGCCTCCTCCTGCAGGCTCCAGTGGCCCATCTTTTCCAAATGAGCACATTCTACCATGTGAACCCACAGATCCCTCAGCTTAGCCTCCCAAGTTAGGACAACCAGGACCCTGAAGATCAAAGAGGAATTGGGACTTGCCCAAAGAAATGGTAGCACTTAGTGGCCAGGCCCAGACCAGAACTCACATCTCCAAACTTTCAGCCCAGTGCTTTCACACAGTGCTGCAGTCCAACATTCCAGTCAGAAGACTGAGTTTCTAGAGCCCTGAACCCATTTTAAAGTAGTCAGACCTATGGCATTCCAGCAAGTTCTTTCAAAGGACTTTTCACTCATGTTCAACAGAAGCTGGGGAAATGTCCAAGATGCCAGAAAACAGGACATCATTCTGTGACAACAAGGAAGGGAGGAATCCCAGGGCCCAGTCTGTCTTCCCTTCTAATTTGGAAAAGCCATAAGAAGTCCACATTCTGTCAGGCCAGCCAGCATACTCCCAATGTGATTTGCCAAATCCACCCTTTCCTGGATCAACACTGGCACTTGGGCATAACCCAAGAATCAGCTTCATCCAGGTTCTTCTCTAGACAAGACTAAGGAAAAGAAATGAGACAGCTCCATGCACCCCTCCCAAAGAACAGGCAGGAACAGAGACCACAGTGTTGAAGACCTCAAGGTGGAGGTCATGGTCTATCAATCTATAGGACCTTTTGTGCCACACAGACTCCATGTCCTTCCCGTGTCCCCAGCTGCGTCCCCACCCATGGGACACAGATGAGGGGACCATAGAAGCTAGAAAAGAAGATCCCTCCACGTGAGCAAAAGACTGCCAGAGTCAAAATGTTTATGATATATCTTTTAGGACTTGCATCTCCAGGATCCTTCCAAAAGTTCCCTACCACCTCTTACCTGATGAGGTCAATAGGTTGGAACTTATAGAACACTCCATAGCGCGCCCATTCTTGATATAGCAGCTAAACAAAGAAAATAAGGAAACAGGTTAGAGGTAGAGGTGGGAAACTTCACCTGATTTTGTCCATCCTAACAAGTCAGAATTTTACCCCCAAAGCCCAGCTTCTAAGAAATTCTCATGAGACATCCACGGGGAGATGTCCAGAATCAGGAGGCTACAGAAACTGGCTTCTCCTTCCCCAAACAATAGAGGTGAACTTTATCACACTCTGCGGCAGTCCTGCACCTGATGAGCAGAACCCCGTCTTCTTTATTCCCATATCTTGCCTAGTCCAGCAAAATGAGCCCCAATGGTCGTGATTCACTCATTTAACAAGTATTTAGTGACATCTCCTTATGTGCCACGCACTGTCCCCACACTGGATACAGCAGTAAACCACAGTCTGCTTACACCCTGGTGTGGAGAGACAAATATAAACATATAAACAGATAAGATTTGGAAATCTTAATGAAGAAAAATTAATCAAGGTCAGGGAGTAGAATGTGAAGGAAGGGAGAGGAGTGGGGTGCTATTGTAGACAGGATGGCCAGGGAAGGCCTCTCTGAGGAGGTGACCTTGAGCTGAGACACAAAGGAAGGGGGCAGGGTGTCCCAGGCTGGACACTCTTCTTGTGCAAATGCCCCAAGGCAAGTGCATATGGCATGTCCCAGGAAGAAGAGGGAACCAGTGTGGCTGGGGCAGAGTGAGCATGGGGAGAACTTGGGAGACAAAGTCGGAAAGAACCAGGATGGCCAGATCACTTGGGGATTTGCAGGCCATGCTAAAATCTTTCTATCAACACTGGATGAAATTTGGATTTTGAAGGAAGCCACTGGGAGATGTGCAGTAGAGGGGCAAAACAATCTGAGATTGTAGAAGGCTCACTCTGGTTGCTGTGTGGAGAACAGACAGAGTGATCAGAGGCACAGGGAAGTTATTGGACTGGTCCAGGGAAGAGATGATGATGGCTTGCACCATGGGGGCAGTAGCAGATATAGTAAGAACTAGTTGATTCTGCTTAGATTTTAAGGGTAAAGCCTATAAGATTTACTGTTGGATTGGATGTGGGATGAGAGGAAATAAGAACTTGGCCTGAGCCACTGAGTCATGGTGATGCCTTTTACTGAAATGAGAAAGACTGTGGGAAGGACAGGTTAGTGGGGGTGGAATCAAGACCTTACTTGGGGATGCATTTTTTGAGATGCTCTTTGGGTATCCAGGGGCATGGCGAGCAGCTAGATATAACAATCTGAAGTTCAAAGAAGAGTCCAGTACATTTGGGAGTTATTGAACAGAAGGACATTTTGTAAAGTCATTAAATGATGGATGTTATCACCAAAGAAGAGATAGTAAGTACAGAAGAAGCCTGAGGTCTGGGCCCTGGGCACGCCACCATTTAGAGGTCAAGAGGGTGATGAAGAACCGGTAAAGGAGACAGAAGGAAC